AAACGGTACAGGCACCCTTCATTTCCATTGACTACACCAACCTCGACTAACAATTGTCCAAAATTCTTCACTGACAGCTCCCCTTGCCCTGCAATTGCCCGAACTCATGCCGCCCATACTCGGCCCGCTCTCCAATAAAGTTCTATTTCAGCTTCGTTTAGTCTCACGATGGTTTCAAAAGTTCCACTCGCGAAGTGTATGCATCCCGCTTACGCCAAATCTACCTACGAGTTGTGATGATTTCGGAACCTGTGGTTCAAAGTGGTCGTGAATGGGCACAGGAACAATTAAGACGGGCCATAGCATCCTCCTCCACCTTCACTCTACCTGAAGGTTTCACCTACTCCACCGTGCTCTTCCGCTGCATCGCCCACGAAACTTTCAACAGTCGCTTCCCCGTCCTTCGTTTCCACTCCCACTCACCAGCAACACCACACATCATGAAACACCTCTGCGCCATCTACTTTGCCGCCGTTGACCCTTCAAAGCTTTCACATCCCTTCTCGGAAACAGACATATTCAACCTCCCGGCCATTAGTGCACCAGCTCTTCGTCACTTTGATCCGACCCAGGCGCACGAAAGGAGTAGGATATATGGGAAAGATTTTGTAATGGATTTGAATGATCCGACGTTGACACTTCATCTGCCTGATGGTGCAATCAAACCAACGACATCATTGATGGCTCGAAACGCCGATATCGACATCTGCCCACGTCAGGCGTATCATAAGCTCGTACAATTAGTTCGACAGGCGGATTTTGGTCCAGTTGATCCAAAGTGGGATTTGGAATTTGATTCTATTTATGTGAGAGAGTGGCTCTGGCAAGGACGAGAGGGGAGGCGCCGGTTGTTGGGTTCTTGGAGGGGATCGCTTAGGAGTCGTAAAAATAAGGTAAGAGATTAGATGCTTCGATACAAGATGCATGTTTTTGGTTCCATTCCCACTGCCGTTCTGGTACCAAGGCAATAACTAACGAAAGGCACACCCAAATACAGATTTTGTGGGATCTTTCAAACGAAGTCAGAGTCGTTGCCTCCCATCTAAAGTCGTATGATGAATTGAACCTCGAACCGCAACGAATGCAACGACTTGAAGTCAAAGTCACGAAGCCACTTCGGGAGAAACTTTTGAAGCAGCCGTTAGTTCGGAAGTACTTGGAATGGGAAGGTGTGGACGTTGAGGATGTTCGGATTGTTAGGATGGTGCTTGAGTGGTTTTATAAAGGGGAGCAGTGGGAGCGGTGGCGGCAGGAGTTTGATAAGGAGTTTGAGAGGAGAATGGATGCGAGGGTTGAGTTGATGTTTAAGGGGTGGTTTGAGGAGGCGGAGAAGGAGATGAGGTAGTGATTGGGCGTGTGGTTGTGTGGCGATGTTGTATGTGTTGACAATACTAATAGAATTGAAAATTGGAAAGTGGTTGCACCGTGTGCGTTCTTCAAGTCTTTTAGTCCAGCCAGTCGGTCACTAGGGTGGCTTCCTTTGTGTAACCTGTCGTCTCTCCGAAGCTCCGTGTGTCTAATCTGAAAGGATGAGGGGTTGAAGGTTTCTTGAACTGCTTTTCTGCTTTTTTGCAGACATACCTAAAATAAACTTGGTCCCAGGATCCTCTAAAGTCCAATTTCCCACCACAGTAACCAATCGTATACACACCCGCCCAACGCACTCATAACAAAACGACAACGAAGCCAGCGTCATCCGATTCGGCGGACCTCTATCTGGAGTTTTCGTCGCCGAACGGTAAGCCGATCGCTTCCTGCGTAGCCACCACACCCTTCAAACGTCGGGTGGAACGGGGGCAGCCGATATCGAAGTGCTGATCCTGACTTTCTCTGGTTTTGGCAGCACCCGTGCCTTTCAAACTGCCCGAACTCCTCCCACGCATCCTCCAAATTCTTCCAAACCGTCACCTACACAAGCTGAGCGGCGTGTCGCGGTATTTTCGTCAGCATGCTACCGACATATACGAAATGCGCCTGCGACAGCTATACGTTCGGGTAGTTTTATTGTGGCGAGAGTTTTCTCAGGATGCAATTAGTTTGCAGGCAGCCACACAAGCGTTTGAGAAACTTTTCCCTGCAACTACCGGCCCCGGTCCCCTCGCATCCTCCCACCTCTCCCACCTCAGCGGGTATTCACTCAGAGCTCTCATTATGAGTTGTGAGGGGCAGATCACAACTGGGACTTCACATTCTATTCTCCACTTCAAATCTGTTTCCGGCCCTCCTGCTCCACGTTACTATAAGCACGGCATCCACGCTGCTCATATCACCCTCATACCGCCTCAAACCGACCCGCATCTTCTTTCTGAACGGAAAATGTTGAAGATTCCCAGCTTCAGCGAACCCATCATCAGAATAAATGCGGCGCCGGACAAAAAGGAGCATATGTTTGCATGTGATACCATCATCAACACAACTCAGACCACTGACATGTATATCGCCGACGCCCTATCCCTTCCAACAAATCATCCACACACTCAAATAAACACCACCGACATTTATCCGCGTCGTCCATTCCTTACCTTGATTAATATCATTTCAAGGCATGGGTTACATGCACTGGCTAACTCTCTTTGGAGTCTAACGGTGACTTTGGAGAGTGCACCGTGCGTGCGAGCGTGGACGATGTTCGGCGAAAAGAACAGGGAGGAGGTCTTAACGTTTCTGGGAAAATATCTTAGGGAACAGGTAAACATTCTACTCCCGCTTCCACACATCTTAGGTCACGCTTTCACCAAAGGTTCTCGTCATAACCTCCTCTCACATTCTTATAATCATGGAAACAGATATGCAAATCCATCTACGACCACCTCAAACACACTACCAACATCCTCGAATCCTATTCCGCGCTCAACCTCCCAACCGAACTCGAAAAAGACCTCCAAGCCCGCGTAGCGAAACGGACAATGCAGCGCATTTTGGCTGTCCCACTTGCCCGGGAAGTATTGGATTGGGCAGCGGGTGATCTGATGGACGTCAGTGTGGTGAAAGTGATGTTGGCGATCATGGAGGGGACGAGTGGGGGGTATAAGTATTTTCATGAGGATTTTGAAAGGAGTGTTGAGTGGAAGGTTGAGGAGATGTGCATTGAGTGGCTCGAAGAGGCGGAGGAGGAGATTAGGTGGTAGAGAGGTGGTGTGGGGTTGGGGTTAGGTGTGGGGCATAGGGAGGGGTGTGTCTTGGGAGTTTTTTGTGGGATGGGGGGAGTTGAGTTGTTTTGGGTATAGGTTGGGGTGTTTAGCAATTTGGTGCGAGTTGAGTTTGTTTGGTTACGTATGGATTGTATGCAGGAACGCGAATTTATTGTCAATGTGAGATTGATAGATGTTCAATGTCCCAACATCTTACATAAAAGTCATGTTGCGTTTTTGTTCTGGTTATTTTCATACCATTTCTCTTCCCGTGAAAACCTCGAAATCCTCCACCAAACACAAAATCGCCATCACACATATTACCCCTACACATTCGGAAATGAAAAGAAGTGCACAAAGGCAAATGACATCCCCTTAACCCATAAAACGCAAAATGCACACACTCACCCGTCCTTCCACCTCTCTTTCATCATCAGCCCCTTTGAAGCTCAATCCCAATACGCCTTTCTATCGCTGCCAACAACCTCATCGACGGGAAGTCTCGACCAACGTCGGCGGCAAATTCAAGTACCGCGATGTGTTGAGTCGGAGGGTTTGCCTGCAGGGGTCAGGATTCAGGACGGCGAGATCTGGTATTGAATCTTCAGGAACATGACTTTTCTGTGGATGATGCGCATTTCGATGCGACATGACTTTTCTGTGGATGATGCGCATTTCGATGCGCATTTCAGAAAGTGGCTGGCTTCTCAATCGTGCACAATGATAGAACGGCATTAGCAACACCATGATGAACAAACTCATGCCGTCTTGATCTGCTCGGGCCACATTGTACGACTATGGAAAGGGTTCTGATGTGTGCCTCGTACATTCCATCGCTGAAATCTAGTGAGCAATTGAGAAGGGACCGCACAAGTGTACACTTGGGGCAGAGTTGGGGCCGTTGCTTGTGGTACTTCTTTCAACCACAACCTCAATCGTCATCTTAACTCAATCATATCCTCCTGCCTCACCCTTAAATATACTTCTGAAAACTACTTTATTCAAACAGTTAATCCTGCTCCATCACACTGTGTGCAATGTCGTTGCCAACATTTGTACAGTTTTATTGAGTGGCGCTGTGTAATGACTGTACTCTGTAATTTTAGCGGATCATCGTCGCCTCCTTCACTTCACTGGGCCGAAGGTAAAGCGCCAATTAACTTGCATGCGGCACGCCAGTTATTTCAACAAGCTGTTCATTGGTCCCATATGCGTCTAAGCATCAATCTGTTACCCAGACAAATGACACGTCTCTTTGGATTTGGGACCTGACTTCCCGGTGATGGCACCCACAATCTCACTGGAATAAACCTGCACCGGCGGACCTGCTGGACGAGCCATGGAGGGCATGCCCGGATGAGGGCATGGGGTTGGTATGGGAATGCCTGGTTAGGCTGAGTGGTCATAGTACGGTCAGCCGGGAGGACCATAAGAAGGTTGCGATGAGCTACGAATACCATGGTCGATGTATGGCTGGTACAGTACGGTGTCCATTGAGCCGTCACACTAGCACTTGCAGTACAGCACCGACCTGCTAAGTAGCGATGTGGACGAACTAAACAATCCCGGATATGGACACTGTTCGTTCGGTAAATCCAACATCATTCCTTCCGTTCCTTCCGAAGTGGTGATCCTCCCACTGGAGGCACTTGAAGCCTCCTTGATCTCCCGCTTTGAAACCCCAAAGGGACTTTGGATGGATATGGAGACAAGAATCAAATAGGCCTCTATTCTTGAGCACGCACAAGCTGTCAGTGCCCTTCGATATGGGTTGCACTCAAAGCGGTACGTCTATGATGCAGCTTTTGAACTTGAGACGTCTTCCCTACGTAATGAAACTTTTTGCCAAAGTGAAGAAGAGTCACACAATCCGCATTGGTCCAGTGGTCAGGATTCCGCGCTTTCATGAGCCAAAAAGCCCCGCGGCGGCCGGGGTTCGATTCCCCGATGCGGAGATCAGCAGTGTGTAAAGGTTGTCTTTTGCCAAGTCAGCACTCGCTTGCAACTGTTTTGAAGAAGAGATGATGTGTCATAATCACAACAGTTTTATATGAGAGACCCCTCGAATTCCCTCCAGTGGCTGATTCATGTTGTATCGCATAGCTAGTTCATGAATTGATAGTTTGCACTACAGTCGGCCTCTCCTGCAGGCGAGAGGAATGTCGCGCTTTGGAGGCTATGAGCAACTGTTTGTGAGTGAAGACAGATGGTCCGTGCAAGATATGTTCAAGTTGACAAACTGACGAATTTGCTCGGGTTGATCATGGGATCGAGCTGTTGGACATTTGGCCAAGACCGACGTGAATCATTCGGGTCAGACTGATGAATACTTTGATGGAAAGATAAGCAGATTGTCAAAATGTGTCAAGGACCGCATGCTTCACCAAAAACTTACTAAACTGCATTTTGATCTCAATTACTACAAATTTACACAAAGCAAAAGCTATGAAGCACAAAGCACAAAGTAACTCTTCAAAGAGCGCAGGCTGGGCAGCAAAAGGACAACCAAAAATAGCTGAACACGCACTACATCTAAGTCATCTACCCATCATGCACCAACACGATCAAGCACCCACCCTAACCGCCCTCACAAACGGCTTCAGAATATCGAAGCGCCCATCGTACCACGAACGCTTCTTTTCCTCCTTCCCCTCCTTTCCATCCGCACTCCCACTCGCATCAATAGCAGGCAACGTAAGAGTACCACCCCCAGTCCCGCCCACACGGTCGTTCTTGCCCGTCGCAGTCGACGGGACAATCTTCCCTCCGGTACCGGGGACTGCGCGTTGGTCCGTGCTTTGGCGAGAGGGCGTAGACGTAGCGGATGTCGAAGGAGTGGAAGAGGACGAGAAGTCGAAGTACTTCTTCCACAATTTCGGCGCATGCTTCGGCCAACGCGGATGAACCGGTGGGATCCTAGTCGCTGGCGAAGTCCCCGTCGTCGCACCATGTGTTTCCGTCTCGTCTTCCACATCTTCGTCCCTCCTCCCCGTTTCCTCATCCTCGCCAAATTGAACATTTCGCGCCCCAGTCCCAGTGGGAGCAGTATCATTCCCACCGAACGTCCCCGCCGTCGACGACTTTTGGATATCCTCGTCCACGCGGAGGATTCCGGCGGAACCTCTCCAGGCGGCCGGACTGACGTTCGGGTCGAGACGGAGCGGCGGGGTTGGGATTTGGTCGGGGAATTGGAGACGAGCGAAGGTGCTGGAACCTTCTCCGCCGTTGGTGTCGTCGGCGTCGGAGGAAGTGTCGATTTGGTCGACGTCCGCCTGCATGGCAGGATAAATGATATCAGTAAATTGAGACGGAACGACGAGCAAGGACGTGGAAAAGCTGCTTGATGTAAATTTTACCAACCTTGAACACTCCCTCACCCTCCACGACAGCCCCTTTCAACTCTTCAATCCGCTTCATAAGCCCGCCCACCAGATTCTCGTACCCGACTGCGCGATCGTCCAACGCTTGCCTGAGCGCTTTGATATGCATGTCTCTGAGGTGGAGGCGGCGCGTGAGTTTTGAAAGCGCGTGATGCGCTTCCTAAATAGGCGGATATATCGACATTGATGAGAAAAAAAGCGACCGACGATAGCAGGAGACATGGGGCACGCTCACCCCAACTTGCTCAGAGTAGATTTCCAATTGCTGGTGATCGGCGGCAAGGGATTGGTCCATTGTTGTGATGAGAGATTCCTATTCATCGACAGATATGCAAAGTTCATTGAATATCTGGGTTTGAAAAATGTAATCCAGGTGCAAGCTCACCATGTGTTCAACCCTCTGCTGAGCCTCCAGCAGATCCTTCTTTGCACTCGCAAATTCCTCAGCATCTTTGGTGCTCTTCTCCTGCATCTTGCTCCAAGCGTTGTCAAGCGTCGAGAGATGTTTCAGGATCACGTCGATATCGCTCTGCAGATATTGATACATTATCAGTGGAATGATGGATGATTGTTGCGGGCTCCATGCTTCTCAATGAAGAAGTATCCACCCCAAAAGTGAACTTCAAAAGAATGACCCACCTCCGCACCACCTTCCTCCCTCTCCCCACAAACATCCTCGCACAGCTCTGCCAAAACATCCCTGATATTCCCCACAGCCTCCTTCAGTTCTTGGAGGTTCGTCACCGCCCCGTTCCTCTCCCCCTTCGCCGCCTCCAACTCCTCCCCGACACCGCGATAAGCCTCGCACTCCGCCCGCGAGTTCATCAGCGCATGTGTGAGCTGTTCCACGCGCTCGTTCAGCGCGTTGTTCTGTTCGTTCAGCTGGTGGAGTTGGTTGGTGCGGGAGACGAGGGTTTGTTGGAGGGTTGTGAGGGATGTGCGGATCTAGGGTTGGGAAAGTTAGTTGAGGTTCAGATTCTGTGGGATTTACCATTAACATTGACATGGTCGATTATATGAGCTTACCTCTTCCGCATCCCTCCTGTGCTTGTCAATTTTCAGACCCGCCTCACTCTCGATTGCCTCTCGGATGTTGGCAATCTCCATCTCTTTCTGCTCCGTTTCGAGGTGCAGGTCGCGTCGGACCTCGTTGAGAACCTCTTCGCGGTCTTCGATGGCTCTTTGTAATCTGCATAACCAAAAAGAAGCATAGTAAGCAATCTTCATTGCCGTGACAAACGGCAGTCCAATTAATCAAATTCTCCATCATGTCCTCATGCCCAACTGCAAATACTCACTCAGCACATGCAAGCTCGGCCTCCCTGACCTCCTGCTCCAATTCCTCAATCCTCTCCTCTCTCCTCGCCACATCGTTCGTCAGCGCCGCCTTTTGAGCTTGAACTTTCGTGAGTTCTTCGCGCGTCAAAGCGAGTTGGTTTCGATGGTCCGTAAGGGACTGAGTGAGGTTGTTGATTTGCGTTGTCATAGAGTCGTGGGAGTCGGAGTAGCTGGTAGTGGAGGGAATATAGCAGCTGAGTGAATGAAGGATTGAAGACGGATGGAATTGAAGAAATCCAGAATCTGTTTACACTGCAACAAAGTCAGCAGCTTGATCTGCATACCGTTTTTCGGCGTCAGCCAGACGCGAGCGATAGTCTTCGTCGCGGGCAAGGACGTCCCTTTCAAAATCCAAGAAGCGACGTTTGAGCGTTGACACTAAAGAAAAAAATGGCATATTACCACTCAGTGCTCGATATTTGAGTAAATAACACAACGGAGGGGAAGAACAAGTTTTATTTGGAGCATTGCAGCTTCGGCAAATACTTGTGACCCTCCCCCAACAACACACCCAATCATTATGATATAATCAATCCGACAACTGCCCAGATACTCACTCGCTCCATCACTCGACTGTATCGGAACACCATATGGCGAATCAACCTCCCTCCCGCCATCTTCCGCGGCTCGACTGGGTCCTTCGCCAGGAGCGACGCCTTTTCCCTTGTCGACTTGACCGCCACCGTCACTTTCGTGTCCCTGCTGAACATCATCATGACCATCCCCGACACTGGCTGATGGTTGCTCTGTTTTGGCTTTCTTTTTGCGAGAGAAGTGCGGGAGGTGGAGGGAGGGGAGGGAGGTTGAGGGGGAGGCGGGGGAGGATGAGGTAGTGGGGATTGTGGTGTCGTAGTCTGGTGTCGGCATTTTTTGAGTTGGGAGAGGAGTGAGCGGTAGGTTAGGTGGAAAGAGTGCAGGTAGTGGGTTCGGTATGGGAGTAACTACTCTATATCAGGTTCCTTTCGGAGTTTTGAGTGAAGGTTACCAACAGAGTAACGGAATCAAGCGGGCATGAATGAAGTGATAGAGGAAAGAAAAATAGTGTACGAGTGGGAAATGCAATTGATTCATTGCTTGTTGAAGACTTCGCCGCCACAAAAGCATATGTCACTCATAAATTGAACAACTAATGACCATCGCTATGACGCGTCAGCTTGACAACAGTTCGGGGCCTGGACCCCCAACACACGGGATTGCTAACGACGCATTACCTAGCTGGCTGCTGAGCCGCTCAAGTTGGCCGGAGCATGTGAAACCGGAAAGTCGTGTCCTAGATTCATACGGTTTCACTCCGGAGACTTAGTGTTATGGGCTCATCTATCTGCTATTTGATCATATGTATAAAGTGGCGCGTGTCTGCTCATGGTCCGTTGGGGGCTGTGCCATCGGGCCTTCCTGGCGCAACCACCAATGACCAAAAGAAGCGACGCCTCACAACTTGAAGTTTCGAAAATACCGCGGACGAGTTTATTCGATTCATGTTGGTGGCCAGATATTTATTTCGATAAGTGCGGGATTCACATCAATGTCATGAGACAATCATTATAGCATCAAAATGCAATACCCGGAGGTGTAGTGACGATGATCGTATTTGAGATCAAATGAACGCTGTTGCCAAATGTCCGCAATTGGCATTGAAGTACTTTATCACCATACAAATTCAAGGAAGTCGAACGAATCTGGCTGATGGAATGATTTGTCTCTGACGAACATTTTCGGAAGACTTGGAAGTCTGCCACATTGACCAATCTGCAAAAGGCGGAAAGAGACATACCTCTCGGACCTGTTGCGGCCTTTTGCCTTCGATCATGTTCATCACTGTCTTGCATCCTGTTGAATGCTCCCTTTGCTAACGAGTTGATTCAGCTGTCTGTCTCCATGTGGAAGACTGCTTGGAGGTGGGGGTGGTTGCTCGGGAGCTTTGCCACCTCGGCAATGGGAATGGGCCTGCTGGAATCGGGAATCAAGGCAGAATCTTCATTGGCGATGGGTGGATTGGGCTCTTTCCCTATGAAATAAGACGAGTACAAGTCAGGCATGAAGAATCTCATTATGAGGAATATACAGTACTTGCCGGCAAATGGCACACGATGCCTTAGCGTGTGTAGCAGATCCCAAAGATCATCAACACCTGTGACTGCCCTGCGTGTGAGACCAATGAGGTCAGCACTGCCATCGAGCAAAATGATCCTGGTTGGCATACCGAAGGCTTCTGCAATTGTACGCTCTAATATTCC